CGTCATTATCGTCATTGTCGCCATCACCATCTCCATCCTCATCGTCATCATAATGATATTTTAATTGCAATTCCGCACATGACTATATAAAAAGACTTGAGTGTTGGGTGGCAGTATTTACATTTATATATATACGTATATATATACGTATACACGACAATTTGTTTTTCATTTTTTTAACTTTTGCCGCTCTGGCAGCTATTTTGTTTCCAACAATATGTCTTCAACTCTGTCTCATGACCTGACTTGGCATTGATATTCTTCGATGGATTACAAATGCACGATATTTATTTCGCAATTTGATTCTGAATAACCGACTGGCGGTCATATTTATTTTATTGTTCTTTTCATTTCCTCGTAAATGTTTTTCGATGGGTTAAATGCATTCTGGTTAGTTTTCTAAATATCCTTGCCCATTTCTCTGTTTCTGATACACTTGATCAACTGTGTTTAAATTGAGTACAAAATCAAGACATCATCAAAATCAAGAATTTTATATATTCAATAAAAATCATCCTTTGTTTTGATGAAATTCCTAATTTTGTGTTTTCAAATGACAATTTATGTGGCAAATCAAACGTGGATGTCACAGGGTTGAATGATATTCGGCACAAACAATCCTGTCCGCGAAGGATACCACCCAATACCCGTGATTGTGGGTTCTTTTATTTTACCAATATTGTGTTTTCATTACATAAGACAGTGGACATTTATTTGTTTTGACGACAAATATTTTGTAATACAAATTTAAAATGTTATGCACTTAAACAAACACAATTAAAAAATGACTAATATGGTATAGACATGTCCCTGTTGTTGGAGTATCACCGGGGTTACAGATGGGGGGGGGGGGGTATGTGATAGCATACCGTAGCCTTCAAATACCTCACATTATATATTTATTCATTTTTAATCATGGTATTTCCAAATAGTGTTTTGATTTTTTTCCTGTAAAATGATTGAAGAAAAAATGTGTTTTACTGGAGTAGAAAAGTGGCCGCTATACGCAAGAAGCTTTTTCACACTTTTGTATTCTTACCAAACGTACAAAGTCATATTTTACAATAATTTTACGCTTTGCAAAGCTTTAATCACCAAAGAATAAATTACATTTGTTTAACATGCTTGTTTACGATTTTTAAATGGTATGAATGGTGTGACTATGGTACAATCACGTTGCAGACGCGTGTTACTTTCGTGACCAGGGAGCGCTGTTCAGGCACTGATTTGAATAGAAAATCGATTTTGATATGTTAATGTTAATAAACTACGGCCCGACGACCACCAATTTATACAAGTCGATCTCATTCAGCCGCTATTTGCTTTTGAGATGAACTGGGCAGCCATCTTGAATACGGCTTGAAATTAAACTCAAGCCGTATTCAAGATGACTGTCCCATATAGTAAATATCGGTAAATTGATCGCATTTATTTTATTATCACGTGTACTCCAGCAGACTGTGGGATAAACCACGAAATCCTTACGTCCATTGACAAACTTACTAAATTCGCGCCCGTATTTCAGCATTGCGAAGTTTATTCTTGTGTTTTGTGTTAGTGGCAACGTTGATATATTTCAATTCGTCTAGTCCCATAATTTTGCCGATTTCAGTCGACAGCAAAATTTAACCCCAGTGTCGGTGTTCACGTTTGGGGCTAGCTGGGATTCAAAATTGTGAGTAACTTTACTCTACCTTTATTTTATTCTTGATGACGTTTATTTTCGCGTTTTCTATTGTTGGATTGATGCCACGGACAAGTAAATACAAATACGGCCAGACATGGGACTGTGAACTACATCTAGTTTGTGGTCAAAAAGCACATTACAATTAAGTTAGTGCAAAGAATATGATTGATTTTATTTTTATGAATCCATTTCTAGGACATGTTTCGACCGTTTTTGTTCAGAGTTTGTAAACATAGTGGTTTTTATATACAAATTTGTTTCATTCAATTCAACTTGCACTTCTTGGCTTTATCCAAAATCGGTGATTTGTCCCATTTAAAGAGGCATGATGGCGTAAATATTTCTTGTTTTATAGATTCAGCTTAAATATAGGTTTCCAATTTAATATTCATAATTATTGGTATTTTTTCAATTGTTCATTACAATATCTACTCGATTTATTTATTCATGATATCCAAGGACATGTATATTTTTTTTAATGACTGGGACTGTGACATATATGTTTTATGTAGTTTAGGGGACCACCGCGCATTGTTTCAAAGCCTTTTTACGTCTGAATTCCCTCTCCCATCGGAAATTTAATCGTGCGATAAATTCATGATTTAAGCGATTTTGAAGTTGCGCTGCGTGTCAATTATGTGACGGAGATGCATCCGGGGCTTTCTTGGTTTTAACTTATGTATATTTCCCTAAAATGTTCGCGTAGTGCATTTTATTTCGTATGTTATCATGATATCAGCAAGTTTAAAATTTAAATTCAGCAAATAAAACCAAGTAAACCCCGTTCCAAAAATAAACGTGCGTTGCATTGATGGGAAACTTCCCATTACACATATTGAAAATATATTATCATACAGGAAACTTAGATTTTGGACTCATAGCAAAGTACGCAACGAGTGCAAAATACACGAAATTCGAAGATTCGCAGCGTAACGACCACTGCGTTGAAATAATATACATCTTTTTCATCCCACGTCAACAAGCAAAGTTGTTTTATCATGATGAAGAACTTTCGCCATATAGAAACCAGTGTCAATCCAATTGGACCATTTCTTATGAAATTTCAGACCTGCGTATGACCCAAATTTGATTTTCTGTGTTCGATATACTGACCGTAGGCAAAAACCGATAATAATGAACGTATGGCATTTAATTTTTAATTCTGTTTGAACCATCTTAGGTAACAACGAATTCAGTTATCAGTTATCTAATGATTTTAAATATCTATATAACTAAATTATGGCAAAACCGTTTATCTATCTATGTGTTTCTAATTAATTGTTAAGCATTAATTTCTATAATTGTGTCAATTCTCATTCATATTGGCGCAATGCTAATATCCTGCAACTTAGCATAGTTTTT